TTGATCAACATCAAGTCCTTTTCAAACTTAACCAAAAGGCGATTCAAATAGTTTTCTGCATAAACAATCAGATAAAAAAGGATTAGTTAGACGTAATATCAATCCTAGTCTCGAATACTTTGGCACAAGCCATAATTATCTTGCTTGCTCGATTATTTGTCTTCTGGTTAAAATTCATTGAACGCTTCAAAATATTTTTCAAAATAAAACTGGATTAAAAAGGATTAGTTGGACGTAATATCCATCATAGTCCCGAATAATTGGGTACAAGCTGTAATTAGCTTTCACGCTCGAGTATTTGTCTTTCGCTTAAAATTTTTTGAGCATTTTTCATACCTTTCGCAATAAAAAATGGATTAAAAAGGACTAGTTGGACGTAATATCCATCCTAGTATCGAATGTTTGAACATAAGCCGTAATTAACTTGCTCGTTCGAATATTCGTATTTCACCCAAAAACAAATTCAACCAATCAAATCAACTTTTTCCGCCTTAGCGCCACCCCAAACTTTTCACAAACGAAGAACATTTTATCCATTCAAACGCGATACAAACAACCATTGAAGTCTCCCATGCACAAGCATACAAGTAATGTTTAACCGCTAAAATGCGGTAAAATAGGATACATTCTACCGCAATACAAAGAAATGATTAAAGCCTCTCATACGTGAGCATACAAGCAACATTTAATCGCTAGAATGCGACCTAAACATCACTCACTATAATTAACCAACACACATTTCTTTTCTACCCAGAACTATGTAGCTTTGAATTCCTCATCGCACCAAAGGATACGTAGGAGTGAGATTCAACATCTTGTCAAACACTATAAAAAAAATCCAAAAATATATTTTTCTTGTTAAGAACTATGTAGATTTGAATTCCTCATCGCACCTGAGGATACGTGGGAGCAAGACTTGGAATCTTATCAAGCATCCTAATAAAATATATATATTTCTAGTCCTTTTCTTTTTCCTTTCAAACTTTTAATAACTAGAAGAAATTAAATAACATCACGCTAACACTTATTTGCAAAGCTAACTGAATGGTTCTCGTTTAGTACAATGGATACAAGAGATGCTAATACCTTTCCCTCGCATAACCGACTTTCGAACCTGATTTGGTTGCGACAACCATCTTTTTTTATTTTGAGGTTTTATCAATATATTCCATTTTTTTGGAATAAATAAACTTCGGTGGTGACTCTGTTATTATTTCTATTATTCAATGCACTCAGGTAATTTTCACGCTGCGATAACTGACAGTTCTACTGCGATGAATGTTAGAATTTTTTATTTGCTTTCTTCTACCCTCTTTTTATTTTATCTCTTATGTGTTATCTTTGTTGCCTGTTTATCTGCTACATGGTTCTTATGTGCTGTGACCCAGATATTATGTCTACTTATACATATTGCGAGAAAGGATCTATATTCGAGTATAACGAAAAACATTAGATAGGATGATGGTTGCAGTGTTGGCTCGCGAGATGTATGTCTTCTGGGGTTGGTATGAAAATCTCACTTAGAGTAGATCCTCTTAAGGGTATTTTTGTCCAACAAGAAATGTTTTGTAGGCGAAAATATTTTCATGTTGGGTCTATGACTCTAAGAACCTTTTTAGAACATTAAACATGTAGCCTATTAGGAAAGATGGTTGCATAATGTTGGTTTGCGAGATGTATGCCTTGTTGGGTTGGCACAAAAATCTCACTCAGAATAGATACCCTTGGAGGTATTGTTGTATAACAAGTAATTTGTTACTAATGGCAATATGTTCAAAAAGAATCCATGACTCTGAGAACCATGTCTAGAACCTTGGATTCGATAGTTGCATAGTATTGGCCACGAGATATATGTATTGTGTGGTTGGCATGAAAGCCTCGCTTAGAAGAGATCATCTTGAGGGTATTGTTGTTCAACAAGTAATTATTTGTAGGTGGCAATGTTTTCATATTGGATCCGTGACTCCAGGAACCTACTCATGCCCTAGAGCCACCTCTTATAAGATTCATGTGTACAAAACAATGTGAATCATTATATTATGAGAATTTTGTATTTGAACCATGTGAAACTGTATGGCTCGATAAACAAAGACATGCATAACACGACATTTCATTTTTTGCATATCAAAAATAAAAATGCATGCATTCGCATTTCATCAGCATGCATGCATATCTTTTCCACACAAAAAAAATGCATCCTATCTTTTGTACATAACCAGCAAGCTGACTTTATTGCACTCTTTCAAAACACGTAATAATTATCAAAGAGCAATGGATCAACTCGGATAGAATCAGGTTGTACTAAGAGAAGGAATTGATGCCATAAGAGATAAGATGGATCAACTCCTAGAAACCATTCTAGCCCTACCCAAAAGGGAAGATGAGCTTAGACGTGCTACTACTACAGAAAATTCCATTCCAACACTAGGCTCTACTTCGCACTCGCGGCCCATCGTGACCAATCTTAGTACAGTCTTTGACCTGGCCACACTTCACCATAAGTGGAAGATCCTATCCAGACATGACCAGTGCATATCATAGTATCCAATGAGGTCCCTACTATGCAATAAAATTCCATTGTCTAGGCTGAGGGTATCTTACCTCATGATGCTATTGAGTACCATCTATTCGCATACCATATGCCATATCCTCACAAGGCACACTAGGTGATGGTCGTCGAGATTCCACATGAGAAGGAACCCAATGAGCAATATTTCATCCTAGAAGAAATGATAAGGGATATTGAGGGGGGAAACGTGAACAAACTTGATGCACTTGACATGTGTTTGGTGCCTGACGTGATCATTCCTCCAAGTTTAAAGTAACTAAATTTGAAAAATGCAAAGGCTAATGAAGAAGGAATTTGAAATGTCAAATTTAGGAAATTATTTTCTAGGTATAGAATTTCAAATTACTAAGTGAGGTATGATGATGCATCAAGAAAGTATGTCAAAGAAATACTCAAGAGTTTTAGGATGGATGATTTGAATCCTGTATCCTCACCTATCAAACCTAATTTGAAAGTGGAGAGGATGGCAAGGTTGATGTTAGTTTGTTCAAACAAATTGAAGGATTTCTGAGGTATGTGTGCAATACAAGACCTTATGTAGGTTTCTCAATCGGATTAGTAAGCATATACATGGATGAACCAAAGGTGTCACACATGAAAACTGTAAAAAGAATCCTGGGTTACCTAAAAGGATCAATAAACTGTGGAATTATATTTCAACGAGATTCTAAAAGCAAAGAAGTTGTGATTAATTGACATTCAGATATTTATTGGTGTGGACATTAAGAAGATTGGGTAAGCACAACTGGTTATTTCTTTCAAGTATTTGGTGTCCAAATCTCATGGTGCTTGAGAAAACAACCTGTGGTGGCATTGTCATCATGTTGGGCTGATTATATACTAGGTTTCTATGCTACTTGTCAAGTAATCTGGATCATATTTGTGTTGGATGAAATGAAGGTCGAAGTAAAGAAACCTCTGGTGTTGCATATTGATAAGAAGCCAATCATCAATCTTGCAAAGAATCCAGTTATGCATAAATGGAGTAAGCACATTGAAGTAAGATTTCACTTCCTGGGAGAGAAGATAAATCAAGGTGAATTTGAAGTAAGACATTGCTCGAGTGAAGCACAATTGCCCGACATTTTTATCAAAGGATTGAAGATCGACAGATTCCTGACTTTGAAAAAGAAATTATGAATAGTTCAGATCGATTATGATTAGTTTGTATTTGACAATTTAAATTATAAAGAAATATGTTGTGATATAATTCAAGTTAGTTACTTAGTTAAAAAGTTATTTAATTTGTTATGCTAAATATTTGAGTTACAAGTAACATATTGTATATAAATATAAGTGTTACAGTCAATTAAACTTCATTCATGGAAATGTTTTGTAATAGAAAACAAAAATAGTGCAGATTGTAATTTCTATGATTGGAATGAATCTCTTTAATTAAATTGTCTCTTGTATTTACTATCCCTTGTATTCTAATAATTAAACATTGCTTATAAAAAAGTCATATTTTGAGATTATGAAATGTAAAAGGGAGTTGGAGTACATTTTAGATATTGGTATTGATGGGTCATGAGTAGCTGTATAAATATTGGGTCAAAAACAACACAAGTGAGAGAAACATCACATAATTATCCAAATCTTAAGGTGATAGGTGTATGAGTTCTCCCACTTATAAATACTTAATTCCCTACATTTATAATTAATATAAAACTCCAATTCACACTTGACATATTATTATTCTCAACCGGTGTTTAATTACAAGTGGGTTAGAAATAACAATGATGTTAACATAATTTTTTTAAAACTAATGAATACGAGTTTTTGCATCTTGATCTTAAAAGATTTGGTTATAAAGACAAACATTTTCTATATTAACATCACAAACTCGTCAGTGTGATGTTTCACATTGGCTAATACGTGGTTTTTTTAATCTCTAGTTCACACTAGTAATAGCTTCATCATAATAATTGTTTTCTCTTTTAAGTATCGATGAGCAAAAACTAATCCCATTACTTTCACTCTTTATTTGAGATCATTGTTTAAGGTCAATGTATGAGATACGGTGGGCCTTCTGTTAACATTCGCATGATATACAAATATATTAAAAAGAATGAACACAAATACGATTCACACTGTATATACCGTATGATAGAATTTATCTCAAATGAAAACCCTAGTTCATTATTTCCACTAGTAAAATGTTGTGAAAATTTGAGTTAGAATTATCTAGTTTCATGGTATTATAATATTCTTAGTAACATGTTGTGGATGTCATTTTCAATCCACTCCATTAATTACTCTCTTTTTTCTCTCCATAAAGAAACAAGCTAAAAAGAGAAAGCAAAGGTTAAAATAAAAAGAAACAAAAAGTGAGAAAAGTCCACAATGAGACAAAGAAAATTTCCTTAATTAATTAATTCATTAATTAATCAATAATATAAGTGCTTTGGTTTCACTCAACAAGGTAAAGAATATGGATATCATGGAGTGTGATGTAGAAGACAATAATTTCATTGAGTGGCTCAAACCATCTACTTCTTCTTCTTCATCATCATCATCATCTTTTTCTACCACTCAAAATGATCTTGTTCTTGAGACTTTTCAATTCTTTCCTATTTTAAATGCAAAGGCTTCAAAAGAGGAAGATCATGAAGTACCAAAAATGGAGGGTTTTGATGTGAAAGAAGAAAATATTACTGTGGCTTTGCATATTGGATTACCTAACCCTAAAGAACATCTTGATGATGAGAACAAGATTTTCCATGTTAAAGAACAAGAGATTTGTAAGAAAAGTTTTCAAAGGTTTTGGATACCAACTCCTGCACAGATTCTCATTGGACCTATGCAGTTTGTTTGCTCCATATGCAACAAAACCTTCACTAGGTATAACAACATGCAGGTTAGTTTCTTCTTAATTAATAATCACTGTGATAATCATTTTTATTTAATTATTTGTAGCTTCACTTATTAATAAAGAAAACTGAAAAAAAAAATATATTAATTAAAGATATTATTGTAATTTAAATGGGATGGAGATTTCGCATGAAACAATAATTTTTATGAGAGAAAAAGCCTCTATTATAAGACTTTTTTTATAGGCAATAAACTTCACTATTAACTGAATATACTAGAAGTACACCAATCCTTACAACATCAAATCGTCATAGAAATTTTCACTAACAAATGGAAATTGACATTTGTGATGATGATGAGGGTGAAAAAATTTCTTTTGTAATTAGGAATTTTAAGGAGAGGGGCATAGTAATTAATTTGTCAAAATGGGTAGGTGTTACATTTAGGCCAAAGAGGCTTTTAGAAATCAACTCAAAACTTTGGATTCTTCTTTTGATTGTACTAATTAATTGTTTATTCTTTAGACAGAACTCAGATTTCAAATAGAGATTTCTTTTATTTAACCATTAATTCATGGAGCTATCATAGTATGCCTTTTTTTTTTGTTACAAATCAAAGTAGCTTTTTTTTATCACAATTTTTATTTTGACTTGTCAATTATTTGCAACAATTGTGCTCATATCTAGGTCAAATAATTCATGCTAGCAACCCTTTGAAAATTATATTTGCATGCATGTATTCTTAATTATTTAATAACCAACTCAAATTACTACCAACATAATTAAGTTTTCAATTTTTAGATGCATATGTGGGGGCATGGATCTGAATTTAGGAAAGGACCAGACTCACTTAGAGGAACACAACCAGCTGCAATGCTAAGACTACCATGCTATTGTTGTGCTCAAGGTTGCAAGAACAACATTAATCATCCAAGAGCTAAGCCTTTGAAAGACTTTAGAACTCTCCAAACTCACTACAAAAGAAAACATGGGACTAAACCTTTTATGTGTAGGAAATGTGGGAAAGCATTTGCTGTCAAAGGGGATTGGAGGACTCATGAAAAGAATTGTGGCAAGTTGTGGTATTGCTCATGCGGTTCGGATTTTAAACACAAGAGATCTCTCAAAGATCATATTAGATCTTTCGGAAAGGGTCATAATCGACTTCTGAGTCCTGATGATCGAGATTTTTATGAGGAGAAGGAATGTGTTACTGTTATTGGTTCAGATGAAGATGGAGTTATTCCTACATGATCTACGAATTTAGTATTTCTAAATTTTAATTTCCTTTTTCTTATAACTATCGATCATAGTAGCGAAAATAATAATTCACTATTCTTGTGCTCGGCCGCAAAAAATTCTCAACAATATTGCTGAGGCAAGGACATGAGAATCGTTTGTTACCGAGCACTTAGGATAGCGAAGAGCTATGATATTTAAAGAGGTTTGATTTGTGTTTAATTTTAATAATTAGGGTTGCCTTAAGTGGTGAAGTAGATGAATTTTCTTCTCATGGAAACACAGGGTGTAGGTGTTTGGCATGTGCAAATTTGTGTATTCTCATCAATGGAGAAAATTTATCAGCTTCATTACCAAAAGGATTTCTGTATGTAAGTATTGTTAACATATTTCTGTGTTGGGATAGCTTAAAAAAGAATGAATAAGACAGAAGAGTTTAATGAATGAAAGGTGTATTATGTTTGATTGGTTGGTAAGTGAATTAGTTACATGAATTGGTAGTGCAACTTATATAACCGTCACAGTTTCAATGCTTAACCAACTTAGCTAGATTTCATCAAAACTTAACATCTTTCTTAACTAATTTGTGTTGCAAGTAATCCTAGTCAATTATGAATTAAAATCTCATCGCACCTCCTAATTTATACTCGTGCTGAATAATTGAAAGAGAGAACAGTGATTTTATAAAAATATTCATTATCAAGTATTAGAATTTGTGAAAATAGTAATGATTAATGGTAGAATTGAAAAAAAAATTAATTTACATTGTAAATTAATATAAATTATTTATTTTAAAATACTTTTTTATTTTAAAAAGATTACTCATTGTGGGACCGAAGGAATATTTGCTAATTTCCTTTTTCCTATAAGCTCCTTTAAGCAATTAAATTTGCTTTCTTTAAAGGTGTTGTGGATATATTTGCAACTTGCAATTCTAAGTTTCAATATTTAGTCTTAAATTAGTTTTTGTTCATTTGATACTACTACAAACAATACATTTCATGACAACAATTTCATCTCGAAAAATTGAGGTATAATTTTTGAACACGTCATGTATTTTTTTCTTTAAAAAATATACAATATATTTTACCGGTTGTAGTTTAAAACCGAAGGATAAACTAATTCAAGATACATGCTTCTAATCTCAGCAGTTTCAGCTTATGTTTTTATTTCACTAAAAGCGGCACCTTTTATTTTTAATCTAAAATTTAACCACATTTCACTTTGGTTTTGATTTCCAACCAAGGTGAATTTGTAGCCCTAAACAACGAGAACCTTAAACACGTATCATCCTTAATACAAAGATGATATGTACTTAAGACTCTCATTCGAAATTTGCCTGAATGAAAGACCCAAAACATTTTATTTCACTTCTTCTTCACTGATCTAGTACGTCAAACATCACTACTCGTGTTACATTATGTCGCTTGCGCGAAAGTAAGGTGTCGGCATGACAGAAGAGTCGCCACCTTTCGTTATTTATCCCTCAGAGCGGGAAAGAAAACGATCGGAAAAACCTGACGAACAAGGGTAAGACAAGGTCATCGCAACCATTGTCTGGGTTCGGGAGTCGGTTACGCAAGGGGAAGGTATTAGCACCCCTCACGTCCGTCGTACTCGACGGGATCCTCGCTTGTTGGTTTACTTGGACAGGTTGGTTATAATCTATCTACCTATCAAGGCTGGCTGAAAAAGAAAAGAAAAATGACTCGGCAAAGCGTCGCACTTTATGCCTACGTATTCTCATCATAGAATGAGAAATCAGAGTCAACGTAGTTCGGCCTACGAAGGATTATGGGGGAAGGTAGCTCGCCAAGACATCGTCATCTTGTGCCTACGTACTCTCAACAGGTATGAGAGATCAGAGCTCACGTAGTTCGGGAAACTACGGGTTTATTTCCTGTTTTGAAAGAAGTGTTTTTTTATTGTGTTTGCGATTTCAACCGCACTAGAGACTATGACCTGAGAGTGAATGCATTGCATGTCACCCAAAGGGTACCATACTAAGCATCCAGACTGTGGAAAAGAAACTCTCCCACAATCCTTTCTCAGATAGCTTAAGGCTCGTAACGTACGAAAGAAATCATTCATGATTACTGTATCTTAAACTGTTTTGAGATGAGAAGAGAACAGGCCCAACTAGGAGGGATACTATCAAGTCCTACTGTTATCATGCCATGGATTCATCCTATGGTTGAGGTTTGAACAGGGAACTCCTAGAAGTTGTCATGCATAGGTTTCAACCTAAAAGTCTATCATCAAATCCTTATCAAAGGAAATGAGAGTCCTAAGGGATCATGTCAATGATACACCAAAACAGACAAAGCATCAGCTTAACAGTAAAATGCATGCAATGCAAGTGAGGGAGGAAATGTGTGTGGGGCTTCAGCCTCCACAAGCTCGTCTCGACCTCAAGCCAGTCATGAAATAACAGTAATCATACTGAAAAATAAACAACATGCTATCAAGCAATAAACAGTAAACTGCAGTCATACAGATAAAAGAAATGAAATGCCATCAGGCAAACAAAACACATGGGCAAGGGAGCTGGGCTCTACCGAATACCCGCAAGCAAAGCCACGCAATAACAATACAAGCAGAGGGAGCAACTCAACCTCTAATGCAATCATGCTCCTAGACTGAACTTATCCTAGATGGACTTAATCTAATGCAACAGACAAATCAAGCAAAACACACAATACAGAAAAGAAAACAGAAGAAAACTTCAGCTCCTCCAGCAGCAACTCAGTCTTCAGGCTTCAATCATCAACTGCTTTCCAGGTTTCAACCTTACAACATGAGTATCAACTCATCTTCTCCCTTTAACTTCTTTGATCAGCTCCACCTTCAGGCTTCACCATCTTCAGGGATCTTCAAGTGTCAACTTGATCTTCATGCTCTTCAAGCTTCAGCTGGAATGGCAGTCTTCAAGGATTCATCCTCTTCAACCATCTTCAATGAAGTCTTCATCTTCATGCTCAGGCTTTGACAACTCTCAAGACAAAATCAAACAGAGAAAAATTACTACTGGATGAGCTGGGGGATATTGAACTGCTTATTTGATCACCAAGGGTGACCTATAAGGGTTCAATATCAAATGAAGGGTTCCCTCAAAAGTTCTACCTCCTGGGTATAACACTAATCCCTCCAAAGGAGAGAGGTGTATACCCTGGAAGGACTTTGAATCACAGGGAGGAATGGATGTGAAGAATACTATCCATGTTTGAGAAAGAAGTTTATCTAACTAAGCTCTATCCTGATCCTATCCCTAAAACAAAAGCAAAACCTAAGACTAAAGCCTCCAAGCTCAACTTCAATCTTCAAATGCTTCTCAATGCTCCTTAATGCTCCATCAAGCTCCACAAGGCCAACCAAGCACAAAAGAAAGCAAAACAAGCAAGCACCCAAAATACAATGCTCACAAGGCAACACACATACTAACCATACATTCAAAAATCAATTAAAAATACTAAAATACTATATAATATTCTAGTAAAATTCTAGGGGATTCTATACATACCTACCCTTAACCCATATATTCCCCATATTCTAATCTTGACCTAAAAACCCAAAACAAAATTGTTAAGTCTACTTATGTTGAATAAAACCCTAATTTTGTTATGCTAATGCTAGCCTAAACAAACTAATCAAATTTTAACCTAAAAATCATGAATTAAAGCCTATGGGAAACTATGATTCAATATCTAACTATGCCAACAAGAATGGCTCAAAAATCCTAAGGGAAGGTCCTAAAAGAAATTCTACAAAATTGAGTATCAAACTAAACCTATTTAAAAGCTATTTACATGGAAAATATACTAAAAATATTAAAAAAAAAATAAAATGCCAATTTTATTTATTAATATTTTTCTAGACAAAATTATGAACATATAGAAAAAACAAGCAGTGAAAAACAATCATTTTTCAATTTTATATGAATTATTTACAAACAAGAAAATAAAGGAAATTAAAGTAAGAAAATAAAAGAAAAGGGGATGGGGGGTGTCAAACATAACTGCGCCCAGTTGTTATTCTGGATGGGCCTAAAAGGGGGTGGTGCGAATATCAACTTCGCTAGGCCCATGCATTCAGAAAAATTAATTGAAAACAATTACAAGAAAAAGATAAACATTCGGTGGGAATAGCAACAAACTTCAGTTAAAAATGGGATTGGGCCGTGCGAGGGGGTGTGAGTATCAAGATTTTCTGAGGCCCAGGACTCATCACTAACTCAAACGCAGCGTTTTGATGTTGGACTCTCCCTCCGTTTTCTCGTTTGAATCGCAGCCGTTGGATGGAATTAACAAGTCAAATAACCAGGATGATCCAACGGTGCTCGCGTCGTCTTCTCCAAATGCCATTAGGGTTTCAGGTTTAACAGGGCTCATGCACGAATATTCAACCCGGTCGTTCTCCATGGTTACTTGATGAAAACGAAAAATTCAAAACCCTAAAATGATCTACTAATCACAAGGAATCCATTCCTGGTCTTAGTTTTTGCTAACACTCCCTGTAGATCCCAAACAGAGGGCACGAAGGCTAGGGTTTCACCATACTCTTCTGACATCAACCTTGCTAGAGCTTCAATTTAATGGTATAATCCTGTTCTATATGTTACCCTCACCAATCTAAACCATAACATGATCACTAAAACTCCATACACAGCTTGTTCTTGAATCTTGAAAAAATCGTGACCTGCCATGAAACCTTATGCCAAGCTCTCTAATTCTCAGAACATGATCTCCTAACCTAGCATGCTACTTCTACACCTAGAAATCTAACAGAAAGCACATAAATATGGAGATATGATGAAGAACACCAACCTGTCAAATGATGATGGTGAGTGATGTTAGAGATGGCTTCAAGGCTTGTAATTGCTTCCAAGGAATCCTCTAATGGTGGATATGGTTCTGTTTGCAAGAATCTTGAGGAAGAGAGCTTGTAGATGAAGAAATGGAAGCTTGCTTGATTTTGAAGAAACTTTGAAATCCACTTTCTCCTTCACTCTTCACCAC